TATATCTAAGCATCCAGAAGAAATAAGGAGGAGCCTTAGAAATTGGGAGGGCTTCCAGACTGCAGACTGAGGAAACAGGAGTAAGCCTGAGAGAATAAAGATACTTGGAAATCTCAGATTGCCAGCCTGCAGGATAAAGAAGTTCCCTAGCTAGACGTACTGGCTTCTTGGTCAGGATTTAAGTCTGCTGTGTGGGTGCTGACTCACATCTGAGGACCATGGCCACTGACTAGGCAGGACATCAGAAGTCCAAGGGCCAGAAGCCCAGTACCCCAGGCTTTGGGAAGTTTAACTTGGGTTTTTTTCCCCTCAGACATCCATTTCAGTCAAGTGCTCTTTCACCAGTCCATGAGCAGTCTACCTGGCAGGACTATAATGAATTCAATGAGCTTGGCCTAACGACATCTTTCAAAAGGAAATTAAATGCTAGGCATTTCTGACAGGTGTAGATTTCAGTCTATCTGTGTCCTTGTTATTACTCTGTAAAATGAAGATACCCATAATTCCTATATCACATCACATAAATGAAATGGAAACTACTATACTAACAGACTGTAGAGATGCTTTGACACTCAAATACTGGGCGTAGCATATGGGTAGCTCACCTCAAATGAAATCATTCACTTTTAAGACATAGTGTAAAAGAAACATTGCCATCTTTTGTATTCTTGACTTGCAATTCTCAGTAAAACAAAAAAGAGTCATTGGAACACCACAGTCATTTCAAATCTTGGCAGATATCAAAAAGGAGTAGCCAGTTTTCGGCTGAGGTCACTTTCAATCCTGCATTGCTTAGGTGCACATATTCAAACAAGTATCTTATTTACAAAGAACAATCACACAGGATTGTACAATGCTTCGTAGGCTACGGCTTTGTTGAGGGGAGGTCTGCAGGTACTATCAGGATATAAATGACAGCATTATGCAACGGGGTAGAAAATGTAAGCAAAATCTGCATTGGTGTTTTATATGACCGAGGCCTGTTCCAACTAATTAAATTCCTAGTTGGAGAGTAGATTTATCATGACCTTCATAGTATCAAATTTTACCCACATGTTATCCACTACTAACCAAAGAAAAATTAATCACTCCATGATCCTAAACATTGCTTTCTCTGTGACTTGGCAAGGAGTCAGAACTGTGATAATATTGACCCTGTAAGAGTATTAGGTCTAATACCCAGAGGAATTAACCTTTGTTTAACCAAAATGTAAATCACTTGGTGAAAGGCAACATTTTATTACTATTCACTTGCAACAAATAGCTCATTTCTTACTCCTATAACTCAGCTGCTGGTACTGAAGAGCAAAACTTGCACTTTGCTTTCAGAGGCTCTTGAGTAATTCACATTGAGGTCATGGATCAAAGCTGATGATATAGTTGTAATAATCAAGTCCTGCAAGGTGTTATGCCCAGCTCAGAGAACTAAATGTAGCAGTGGAATCCTGTAGAGAGAGACGGAGGTTGTGAACAGATTACCTTTAGTTAGGAATACCAACCAAGTTGCAGGAAGAGGAAGGCTAAGCAGGAAAGATGTTTTTGAATTCTGGGGCAATACTGATCCTTCCAATTGCCCATTATTAATTTTTTTTTCTGAGAGAACCTACATAAAACTGAGTAGTCACTTTTTTTGTCTTAGTTCAGAAACAACTGACAGTCCTAGAGCTGGCATTTTTAGATTATGTTGCCAAAGGCCCATGAAGTGCAGTATTACCCCAACCACTAAGTTTTTGCTTCGTCCTTAGCAGTCTCTCCTGTTTTGAGAGCTTCTTGCCTTTAATCAAACACTTTAAGCTGGCATTACGTCAGGTCTTTCCTTGCATATTTGTCTGCTCTGTAAGATCAAGTTCTGCACATAAGCATGTACCCCTGTGTTGTCTGATGACAGATGGTTTTCTACAGCATTCTGCGTATCCAGCCTTGGTTTTACCTGCTCAGCTTCTACCACAACACAGTCCCAAAGTTATGATTTTCTCTCAGCAGAGTTTATTTTTATTTATTAAAAGCAAATGTCTTTGGGACTTTTGAAATCTATAGGCCTACATGGTAGGCTGCAAGAAACAGTACTAGCTTTCCAGATTTAATATTCTTTATTGTGTTTGTTAACAGAAAGTTGACATCTGCTTAATGCTTTCTTTACAAGAATCTATCAGATCTCCCCTTATGATTTCTTGCCAAACTCAAATATCAGCTTTTGCATTTACTAAACAGAACATGAAGTAACAACACAGCTTTAAGTTCCAGAGCTAAAATATTACATAAACCTTTTTTTTTATTGTTATTATTTTGGAAAGTTCATCTTCCTTTTCAAAAACTTTTAATCATGGTGATCTCATGCACTGAGCTGCTGTTTAAACAAAAGCCACCCATTTACTGCAAAGCTAAAACTCCGAGAAGAAAAGCAACTAACTAAGGGATAGATAGTTAATACTTAGCTGTTCTCTTCTTGCCAACACCGCCAGCAAAGCTCTAGTGCGAACCAGATGCCTCCTTGGAGAGAATATTTGGCAGCCGAAAAAGAAACAGCAGCAGCTCAAGTGTGTTTCTGAAACTCACTTGTAAAACCAGTCTCAGGTACTGTAAACTCTCACTTGCTAGTTTTAACCCTTGGGCTCCCCTGTTTTGCTTTCGTTTTGTCAAAGCGAAGTAATGCAAGAGAGATGTCTATTAGACTCCTTCACTCAGTCTGAGGGTTAATTACTCAAATTGGTAGACATTTGAAAATATTATGTTACCTCTAACAGCAAAATTGATAGGAGCTTGTTTCAGGCTCACTTTATGTCATTATGGCAGATTAACTAATCATAAATTACCCTGGCTAAAGTACATCTGCTACTCACTAAACCTGCAGAAGGAAGGGGTCTTTTTCTGAATAAGAAGTAAATGGCACACAACAAATTAAAGACTTTTTCAAACCAATAAACATACACTCAATCAATGAAAGCTGGGAGCATCCCAAAGACAGCAGCAACAGATTCTGAAGACCATAGCAACAGTCTAGCGCTGAACCTGTAGCTGTTGCGGAAAGGCATCAACACTACTATGCTGCAGGGGTATATCCACAGATCAAAGAGTAAAGACAGTCCATTAAAGAATAAAGAAGGTCAATTAAAGAAGAATAAGCATGCTTACATTATTGTTAAATTATGTAAGCATAATTCTTAAATAATGTAAGCATTGTTACATTATTGTTAAATAATAACAATATAACATAAAAGGTGCATGTTTCCAGCCTCTACTTCCAATGTCACCTTCCATTTTCTGTTCAAAGCAGCTGGATGCACCATTTCTATGTGCTTCCAAGGAAAGGACAGATGAATACATCACTGATCTGGAAGGCAATATAGATTTTACAGTGATCCTCTCATTAACCTCTGCATTGCGGGATGCAGAAGTGACAGCTGACCATGTCAGTACGACTGAATTCCTAAACAGGGCATGGACAACTGAAGCTAGAGATGTGTGGAAGGAATGCACAGAAAACAGACATTCAAGACCTCTTCTCTGCTGTATAAAGTATTGAGTCCCTGTCTGTAAGCACATGGTAGACCAGCACAATCACATTAAGTGATAATTTTCTTTATTTTGGAAGAAAATAAGGAAGAAAAGCAGTATTATATTGTATTACATGTGGATTCACATATACAATTGTCAGTTAAAAAGCAGAACGTTATTTTGGGATGACCAGATAGTTTGCTTCTGTCTAGGAAACAAACTTTGCTTAACAACTTTAACCCAAAGCATTCTATGATTCTATGAAAAAGAGTCCAAGAAAGACAACCAGCTCTCCAGTGACCATGTTTAGAGGGAGGGTAAACAAAGGGTTGACATATCTATTGTGTTCCTTCAGTTGTCACAGAGCCTCAGGAAGCTTTGGGGGCATCTGAATAGCCCAAACTTAAAGCATGAACTCTCAATGTATTATAAAGTCTTCTGGAAAGGTGCAGCACTCTGTTCACCTGTTCCGAGGTTCCTAGTCCATGAGCCCCTTGACGCAGATGATGCTTTTAGTACTATCTGAGTCCTTTTCTCTCATGTTTCCCTCCTATTTCATGCTCTCTGAACAATATTCCCCAAACCACCTTCTATGCATGATGCATACAGCCACAAAAAACGTCAGAAGAAATGAAATATAGCTACACAAGGATTTAGAGAAAAGCAGGAGGGGAATTGTGTCCTTCACCAACATGCAGAAGGCAATGATGAGGTCTAGTTCTGCAGTGAAAAAATTCTAAAAACTTCCCCTGAAAATAAAAGAAAGTTTAGACCACCATCAGTCACTGGATAACCTATTTTAAGCCCATCAGAGCCAATGCGCTGTTCTCATGATGCTAATTAAAAGTGATAGATTCATCAATTAATCTCTGTTCCTGTCCCCTAGCCTTGGTCTGAGATTTTTCAAAGGGACAAATGGTAGTTAGGAGGTCACAAGTATCATTTCAGCCCTGAAAATTTGTGCCTTTCTCAACACGAACCCAACCTTGCCTCTTTACACTGTGAAATAACAAAAAGAAAATCATAGGAAGCTTTGCCACCTTCAAAAACACAACAGATGTATAACTTGGGAATAATCTTATCCTCTGTACAATGAATATTGCTACATAAATCCTTTCTAGGCTCCAATTCGAACTTGCTCATTGATACATGAATAAGCCTCTGTTAAATTTGGCAGAGACAGATGTCCTAAGCTTAGGCTCTTGATTGAAACTCTATTGCAATACTTACTGTGGAGCAGTCATAGACACTCCACTATTTAGGAAAGAAGCAACGAAGGCAGTCTATTTTTATTCACATTGAAATGGAGACAAAGATAAAGGTCCTGCTGTTAAGCTTAGCAAAGTGCCAGTCACATAAAGCAAGCCAACAAAATGGGTTACCTTTTCCCCTTGCAATATATGTATCACTGGGCAGTGAAACCAAATTGGGGTGTACAAGGTTAACAAGGCAGCATCATGTTATGAAGCAAGCAATAAAATTGTCTTACAGTTCTTAACTCTGACCTGTTCCAGTGAAAAGCTGCCAAGCAGAATTATGTCATCCTGAACATCTCTCTCAAACTGTTCGATATATGAAGGAATCACTTCATCTTCAAGCTCCCTGTGAAGGTCACGTGCCTTACTGGAGCTGACAGGCATCACAGAATCTGGAAAATCTTCACTGGCAACGCGGGCTGCTTGAAACAAAAGTGGCAGATCATGTCTTGGTAAATCGGCATTCATTCACTGGTTAGTACCTTCTCAGTTAGCACGTTTGGCCCACCAACAATTTAAGACAGTTCATGCCATGACATGAACAGTGAGAAGTAACAGCAGTAGAACAACAGGCAGGTTCCAAGTGCCATTACCAGGGAAACTCTCCTCAAGAGCAACAGGGACAATTTTAGCACTTGCAGCTAGTTCCTTAAATAATTTTTAAAAGGGGCACTCTGCATTTCCATGGTCACTTTGCTCCCCTGTAAATCATAAAGGAACTGGGATTTGGAACGACTTTGGCTTTAACTCATGAGGAAGAGGAGGAATAACTGCAATTGAAAGAGAGTTTAAGGTGGAGCCTCACCAAGCTTTCATCTTCGAAGATTTCATCTTCCTCTCACTCACCCTGGAGGATCAGATTCCTCCCCCAGGTATGGGTGCACAGCTCCTGCCTAATTAATTCAGTCCAGTTCTGCTCTCAACTACATCATTCTCCTGATTTCACTGCAGTGACGTATGTAGAACCAAAGGCTACACACTGCACGTAAATAAAAATAAATCCCATTCGTAAAGTCAACCTTAAAGAGAAGTTGTGTCCTTTTTTCGGTTTAGTTCATCATGCTACTTAAAAAACAGAATTTCTCATTGATATCCACTACAGTACTAGTACTAGTTTGGGTCATAAATAATAAAGGCAACTATTTTTGCTCATTTCTCCACATTAGGATCACTAAGAAATGACAGACACCAGGTTGTCCACATCTGATTGTCTTTCTTCCCTCATATTTCTGTGTGTAAGTATATGTTTTTTATAGTTCTCTGTGCCTTTCTCTGCAAGAAACTGCCATATCTAGTTATTTGTTTTTCTCTTTTTCCATCCTAAGACATGCAAGCAGTTAAAAGACTTTTTTTTTTTCTCACTCCCCTTTGAAGTCTCTCATTCCCTAATGAAGACCAGAAAAGGAAAGATAAAACTAAGGCTATTAAAATTTTCAGTTTTGCTCACTACTCATTGTTCAGTGACTTTAATCGTTGAGCTTCCCAAGTACTTAAATCACCTCGGTGCCACCAACACACAGGAAGTAGAGTGTTGGGTTTTTTTTAATTACACCAGGATACAATTCAAAATCTTGTTGGGGGAGGCATACAGTAGATATAAACAACCCAAAACATTACCTTAGGGTACACAGTCTCTTCATGTAGCATATTACAAGCCTAATGAATAGAGATTTGACCTACTACCATTAATTGCAAAAACAAAGCAATATTTGCATTTAAATTTACTGTAACATTAAGGGTTTGGCTAAGAGAGAGAAAATCCGGGAAGCGCTGGAAAAGGAAACACTGCCAACAGCAGAAGATGCAGCATCACTTGCTCCCCTGGATGCTGTGTTGTACACAACAGGCCATATGCTCAGCTGGTATAAATCAGCTGTTTTACTACTTTCAGAGGAGCAGTGCAAGTTTACACCCAGGTAAGACTATACGTTCCTATTTCAGGATCCTCTGGGTGTAGAGACATAGCCCTTAAATATCAAAAAAGAAATTAAAATATTCATTTCACAAAGATGACCATGCAGTGATTCATCAAAACATTCTATTTCTTTTTTGCGTTTATGATTTTTGTGAGGAATCACATTTAGCGAACTCAGTTTTGGTGGAAGACACTGGTCTCATTAGCATGTGTTTTGTGGAAAAAGAGCAAAAGAGAACATTTTCACAAGCCTTTTCAAGGGAAAAAAAACAGTAAAAATAGAGATAAATTACAATTCAGAATTGAAAAATCTTTGATGAAAAGATACACATGCTCATTCAAGCACAGTTGGAAAAGCTGTTTATTTGCCTGAGCTGAAGATGGGGAGAGAACAAAGTTGTTCAGCTGGTCTATTCCTTCCACTCTGGCTTTGCAAAGAGACTTCTGAAACTATCACCACCAGGTTTCTCCATGTCTGAACTGATCCACGGGTTGCAGGCTTGAGCTGCCGCCCCGGAGCAACACTCGACCAAAACAAAGCCTCCATCTCCTTGCTGTACAGAAGCCGCCACACTGTTAAAAATGTTGCTACTTCGTACACACGGGATGAAATGGCTGAAAATTTACAAGGAAATTCATTGATAGATTGAGAAACCGATTAAAAACTGGCTGCTTCAAGTTGTTAGCATCTGCTTCAAACTTTTCATTGCCTCAGCTATACTTAACACTGCGAGTCGTACTTTCCACGTAGTTTAAATCACTCCTCCTTAGCACAGGCTGTATTTGCAGATGCTGTGCTGTAATTAAAACAATCTCTCCGGTATTAGCTTGGCTGCTTTTAACTTCATTTACTCCTGCATTTGTCCATCACATAGCAGCGGTTTATACAGTGAGTTGAGAATTTAAAGGGTAGGTTCGCCAGCAGACTACACCTCAGCACAGGTTTGAACATATAAAACAGGCATAAACTCCACATGGAAACTGCGCTTTGGCTGCCTGGTTCTAGAAGACTCTGTGTATAAACTGTACCTAAAAAAGTACATCACCAAAGGCTCATGCATCAGTTTCAAGTAACTAAAATGCTGCAAAACTCGCACTTCAACTTTTTAGTTCTTGCCAAAGAATAATATAATAGAAAATGTTTTTTATGGTATTCACCTAGCACCATTTTAGACATGCATGGATCACAATCTTTCATTGTTTGAGAGATTTTTATTCCTAGGCAAAAAATATACAGTACATATCTTTCTCTAAAAAACAAACAACCAATGGTGCCTTATAAGTTGCCTTATAATATGAGCTGACAAGTATCACAAGAGTGACCAACAGGTTAGGTTACTGAGCAAAAAAATGTTATAAATATACAATTATATAAATTCTGAGCCATTTTCTTTCCTTTCCTTTAGGGATCATCTATCAATTAGGACTGTATGACCACGTGATTTTTCAGCTCAGTGGTCAAATGAAGAAAAGAAGCAGTTCTGTAAGAGTGGAACCAAATTAGTCCTAGTTTTCTATGGATTTTATGGTGTCTAATAAGGGTCAAACTCCCATGTTAGCTTTTCCCTCAGTGGCGACATTAATAATGCTTGTCTGCTCTGCTCAACTTCCCACTTCCATAAAACTGGTAAGAAAATTGGACCTGTGAGACTTGCTCTCTGTTAAAATAAAGGGTTTGGAAGTGGACAACAGGTTCAAAAATTGGGAGCGAGAAATACAGGCAGGCAGAAATAAGTACAGCCCAAGGTACGCATACAACAGTGATTGAGACTGCACAAGCCTCACTTCCTCAGGAAAATCCCGCTCTTTTCTGTTTTTTGTTCACCCAAGCCAAGAACAACCTCGGTAAAAAAAATCGGCTAGGATAGGGCACAACATTCACCCGCAGGGCTAGCTCTGATACCCATTATGGTTCTTTTAAGAATGAAAGCATTGAGGTACCCCTCAAGACAAACCAGCAGTGGGCTGCAGTGTCTCCCCCAGTGCCTTCATGCCTACACGGGAGCTCTAATGTACTCCTGCAGCGCAAGACATGCATGTTAATGCATTTGCTTGCCCTTAAATTGAATCGGTGAGATGGCAGCTCAGCAACCTCAGCAGCCTGAGCACGAGGTCACCATCCGCAGAGCGCACCATGTACCTGCAAAAGGCTTTGGATGGATGAGAGATTTGAAATTGTCTCACATCCCACGTAGCCAGTGATAAGAGCATTTTGCCTCTCATGGTGATTTGATAAAACTAGTTGGAAAAAAAGACATTTTTAGTTCAAACATACCTGATAAGTTTGAATTATAAACATTTGAGGAGTTCAGTGAAACCTTATTTCTCTTTAAATATGCTATTTGCTATTATCCTCTGTAAAGCACGTGTTTATCTTAACAATATTCATTAATGTTATTTGTAACACAATATAAAGTTTTAGGGCGCCTAGCTGAAGGAGAGAGTAACCACCAATGGATGGGGAAGACTTCCGCTTCACTCCCTGGTTCCCTTGCTTAAAAGTAGTCAAATCTGCATGGTGCAATTCAGATCACTTACCTGCACCATGCAAAAGGCAATGGTCAAGTCTAAGTCAGTTGTCCAAGACCCTTCTAGAGCCAAAGGAAGAAGAACTGCTTCCAGGGCACAATTTATCTAATTAGCTAAAAGTTGTCTACGTGAGGTGGGCTGAACCACTGCCCAGAGGTGCTTCTCTCTCCCTCTCCCACCACTTTGCAGAAGCCCCAGCAGTTAACTTTCAGAAAGTTAATGGAAAGGGTACTGGACCCCACCCTGGGGCAGCCTGTAAAACGACATCAGGACATCTTCCTTAATCACACAGGGTTATCTAGATGATAAAGCTATTAAAGAATATGAAAGACTATAAATGTTGGTAGGAAGAGACTGCATTATTACCACAGATAAGACACTCCATGTCAATCTTTCCTGCAGAAATAATGCTGACTTCTCAGTGAAGCATGTTTTTATTTTAATCTGTGTTGTTGCAGGATAAAAGCAACCATCAACCTGCAGCACTGCTATAACCTTTCTCAGCAATATGGAGCTGTACATTAACATGCAACAATAAAAAGCTTGCTAATAATTTGTTATAGGTTTTTCTTAAACTATCTGCATGAATTTAGCTGTGATGGTTGTACTTTCTTTTCCTTGCATTTAAAATGAGACAAAATGGGTTTCAAAGATGTTACTGATATGACCAGTGCCAGTTCAAGGGATTTTGCAACCCTAGGCAAATGAAAATGTTTGCTCTTCTAGAACAAAGTTGCTCACAAACTAAATAGTCATAAAACAAGTTGCAGCTCCTGGAGCGCCAGTGCCATAGGCAACCTCCTGTGCTGTCTCTGACAGAGTAGGCCCTGTGTGTAACGGAAATATACCAGGAAACCTCATGCAAAGAATGGAAAACACTTTTGCACAAAAGACCTCTGCTGAAAAAGGAGGAGGAGGATACCCAAAAATATAAGGGCAGCCCTGAGCCGAGGCTTGTTCACGTCACTTCTCCTAGGACGAACCAGAGGAGAACAGCAGATGTGCACTTTGTGTAAAGGCTGTGGTGTTAAGTCTCATGAATCAACTGGGTGTTCAATAATGCCTGTAAAAATAAGTGAAGCCAAAGCAAGACTGTTGGCTTGAGGTGAAGAAATCTCATCTCATACACTTTCTTGTTTTTACTGTAGACGGAACATCAATTTGTATTTTCTAACAAAGCCACAGAAAACATTTTCTAACTCACCTGTAAGTGTAAATCCTTATGTAGATAACCTCAAACACTGTGTGACATGACTGTTGCACCTGACAAACGACCCACCCCTTTATGAGTTTAAACAAGGATTTAGATTTCTAGCTTTGAGCAGATAAGAAATTATGTTTCCAGTCTTCACTCGTAATGAAGAATTCAACATGTAATGAAGCTGCCTAGAGAAAGTACGCCACTTAATTTACACTTTAAACCACATAAACATGATTCAAACCAAAATATTTGGAGAAAAGGTCTTACAGGCTCACATTAAAATCAAAGTTCCTTTTGCTTCTGAGTTCAAAGAGATGGATTACCCACTCTCCTCCCCGTATCTAAACTTAAGAATTTTATTTTTCTTTATGCAAATGACTTTATTTACCTTGGAAGTCCAGCACCCTGTTTTCTTCATCTAGAAGCTTCATCAGTTTACCGTACAGGATTTGCTCATCAAATTTCACAGGATCTTAAAAAAACAACAGTAAAACATCTATTGTTTCTTCCAGTAGTGTTTCAGGAAATGTTATTTAGAACTACAAAGATATAAAAATAACAAAGTTAAGAAACCATTTGACACTTAAAAATAGTTTTCATAGTGCTAGTTTCATAGCGGAGGTGACAGTCATTTTCTTTTGAGTTATGAAAGACAGTTTAAAATAAAAAATATATAATCATATACTTTCAAATGGTAAGCAAAATTATTTCTTGATCTGGACTAAAACTGGTTTATTAATTGTGCTAACAGACTAGTTGAAATGATTACTTACATTCAAATTGCCAGATAAATTCTATTTGTTTCTTAATAAATATCAAATTACCTAATTTATTTTCTAATGTGATTTTGGATCTTTATTACAAAATGTACCTTGCTGTCCATAATACTAACATGTTACCTAGTACAAGTAGTCATTATAGCACATGATGAATTTTGATTTTGCGGCTGGCCAGTCATTCAAATTCCCAGTAACTTCTGCAGACTTGTAAAAGGAGCAAGGGACACACTCCTACCTTTTTCCATGAGACCTTAAAAAATCACTTCAAGTCTCTATATTTAAGGGAGAAATGACCAGGTGAGACGGTCTTCTCCAGGTCTTCCAGACCCTGGCTTCTCTAAGTTGTCAGTGAAGGAAGGCAGGTAGAAGACCAAAGAAATGTATACAAGGTAGGTGAATCGAAGAACAGCTGCAAGCCACCTTGTGTGACTCTTTTTAAGTGCCCGATAGAATCTCAAAGAATAAGTTTTCTTTACCATGAAATTGCAGAGCCAAGTTTTTCAGTCACACTGAGCATTCAAATAGGGAGGCTTCTGCAAACCTCTTCTGTGAGTACAGAATCTTTTACATTTCTTTTAGTGTGTAACGTTGAAATGTTCCCTTGACGAGGGGGGGAAGCAAATCCATAGCGGGTGTTGTTTGTTCTCAGGGCATTATCAACTCAGACAAATTTCCAGAACAAATTTAATTTATCAAATATAGAAAAGATAATTGCTAATATCTTCATTTTCACAGATTAACCCATTAAAGAATCCCATATGATGAACACATTAAAATGATATTTAACTTTGTATAATAGAGTTAGTGGCTGAAGATTTGCTTTTCGCCATCTATTGTCTTTGGGCATTGGGCCTGACTTGCTTAAATCATAAGCAGAGTTTCACTTTAAAGTGTGCCCTGATTTCTTCATCTAGTTCTGCTTTTGTCTCGTCAGTGACAAGGTGCTACCTGGTAAAAGGAGGTAAATGAATATGGTTTCCAATTGGGATGACCATGCAGGACCAGTCTTCAGTTCTGACTGTCCTTTTAACTCCATCCACTACATACAAATGTATGCTTACGTTCTGCTTCTTTAACACTTCTGCAAGGAAAAGGAAACCAGACAATGATCCTGATTTGTGAGTACCTATGAATCAGGCTGGTTGAGGTGGGAAGGGACCTCTGAAGGCCAGCTAGTCCAGCCCCCCTGGCTCAAACAGGGCCACCTAGGGCCAAGTTGCCCAGGACCTTCTGAATATCTCCAAGGTGGAAGACTTGCTCTTGGCAGAGATTTTGGTAAATATAGCGTTCTAACTGCTCTGCAGTTGTCAACACAACCAAGCTGAGGCCAGTACCGTTGCTAACAGACCTTTAACAAACAAGTGTTACCCCAACATTTGAGTGACATTTTTCCTAGGGAGAAAAAGATGGAATGCCTAAGGACAGCCGTTCATACATGCAGGTTTCTAAAACCACCTCTCCCTTCCTGCCTCTGGAACAAGATGGACTTTCTCAGAGCTTCCATCTCTTCCAAATTTACAAAAACACACAATACTTAAGTTCAAGTGTGTACCACAGCCTCCTCAACACAAACAAGAGAACATTTTCTCCCAACAAAACCTGTACTTCTAGGTATCCCTTACGTCACCATTCTATCTGTACATGTTTTTAGGCACACATGTACAATCACAGAAATCCATTCCACTTTTCTTTCTCTGGTTATGAAGCAGATCATGACTCCTAAAGCCTATTTGTAAGGCAAACCAAGGCAGTACCAACAGAAAAAAGTCTTCTGTTTGAAAACTCTGAGCTAGACGTTGACTTCCAAAGTATTACATTGCTGTCCTGTACCATGAATGGAGAAATTATAGGGCTTAGATTTAATTCACCCTTGATAAACCTTGATTTTTTTCATCAGTACACAGAAATTCAAGTTACTGATGTGCATTAGAGCCTACTTAGTCACACAAGTTTTTGCCTCCAATGTTTAAACCTCCATGACTACTCTAAGTTTCTCGTGAAATTCAGATATTACCTACTTTGAAACCCTTTACAGTAGGTAAATTGTTTTAGATTTGACTGCAACTGTGTGTCTAGACAGCATCTGAAGTAGAAATAAGCACAAGGTTTTAAAAAAGTAAAGGACTAGAAAGGTAACACAGGAGAACTGGGTCTTGCGTGCTATCAGGCTGTTAGCGCTGAACAACAGGAGCCGGGCCAAAGCATTCAGTGCATAGCTAAGCACTTCATTACCATGATGATGTTCTTACTTAAGTCCATGCAAATTCAGGCAGGCCCATTCCCACCCTTTTTTATCTGAAAGCCATAACAGCAATGAGAATTTCCTCCACTAGACAACACCTCCTGGTTAATCTCTCTCATACCTATGCATAAGTTCTGTTCTCCCAGCTCTGCAGAGTCACACCCTCCTACTCCTTGCTATCGACCACAGACAGCAAAGCTAAACTTCTTGGCTAAACTGGCAAAAAGAAAACCACAAAAGGCTCCTCTTGTGCTGGGAACTTCTACAGGTTCTGGGGTTTCCTTCTGTCAGGCATACACACATTCAGCTCAGTAATAAAATTGCTCTCCAAGAAGGACTTTTGGAGCAGGATTCCAAAAAAGCTGCAGCTTAGTACTCAATTCTGGACTAACTTCATTAAAGAGAACACGGTGTAGACAGTGTTCTCTGAGAGCGCTTTATTTTGCTACGGTAGCAGAGTCTCGCTTTTACCTGACCATGAACTCACTGTCCTTGATCAAAGACTATGTATACTGCCTATCCTGTTGAAAGTGGTTAAGGCTTATAATTTAAATTGTAAACCTCAATATTTAAATAGAACTGCATATGTGATCTTTGTCACCTCATTTTCATGAATGGAAAAAGAATATTCTGACACCAAAATTACATACTTAATTCTGCCTCACCTTCTTCACTGACCTCCATCCCACACTGCCTTGGGTTTATTTCCTCATCCATCAATGGGTCAAAGTAATTTCTGCTGTATTCATTTCCTGTGGAAAGCACATGAAGTAAGGGTCAGCGATTATTAGAAGCACATGAACGAAAATGTTAATTTTGAAATCGACACCAGCAAGCAAAGGGGCATTTTTTGCTACTTTATAAGCTTAATTTTTTTAACAAGTCCTCTAAGCCTACTAGTACTGCAATTATCATTCTGTGAAAGGTCAGAAAAGGTAATTCTGGAAACAAGTGCACTTTATGTTACTTTTGCTCAGGAACTAATGAGAAAAATTCTCAAATTTAGATGATGGAAAGATAAGAAAAATTTAAAAAAATCCAGCATCCCTAACAGAAGCCAAATTATTCTTCAAACACATTTTACAAGTGAATTACCCATACTGTAGAAGAATTTGTGTTTCCCAGCTGACCCCTCCAATTTCCACAATTTTAACTTTCACCACTGAGGTTTCAATGTCTGGTGCATCTTTAATACTGTATTCAACCGAAGAAGTGTTTAATTACAGAGGAGATACTAGAATACTGCCTCATTAATTTGAACCACAATTATATTCAGTTGGGCTAGGTAACCAATCCAAGATTTTGATGGGATAAATGGGATAAAACCACTTATTTTAGCACTTTCCATTTCAACTGCTAGTTTTATCTGTTCTTTAGAAACTAATCAAGTTTACAAAAAAAAAGTAATTTCTTAGACTTATCAAGGAATAATGCAGCCTCTAGCTGCCTAAAGGAACTTCCAGTAAAAGCTAGAAGAATTTTCTTTACACAAGGGGAGAGGGAGAGCTTTTTCCTCAAAATGTGTCCTTCCTTTAGCAAAAGTGCTACGCTTTATTAAAACCATCCTCAGATTCATCAGGTTTGAAAACAGAGAAAATTATTCCTAAACACAGAAAAAGTAAAATAACTAAGTCCATAACAAATTTTAAAATTGCTTGAATAGACACAGATCTATATCCTTGAAAATACATCGGAGCTAAATATACGAGGGGGTTAATTCATCCAAGATGCTCTATAGTAATCTGCAGTGTATCTGTCTTAAGATCAAAAATAATACAGGCAGCAGCTCCTTTTCCAAGACTAAATGAAACTTTGATATGAAACTAGGTTTAATTTATATTTCTGGACCAGCACATTTTGACTGTCAGTCTCTGTTCCTTCAGTGTAGTAAGTACAAGAACTGAAAATTTGCTTTACCTTGAGGTCTCAATAAAGAAAAAATAAATGAGTTTCATTTTTGTTACTTTATCTGTCAACAACTACTAGGCTGGTATGAATCTTGGCAGTATGTAATCAAAGTCTTATGTACTGCAATAACAGAGCTATTCTACCTCATTCACTGTAATTGTTTTTCTCTAGCACAAAGCACCATGATGTTATATGAACACCCCTTCACATGTTGGTAAAATAATTCACCAATGTGCTAAAAAAGAAAATGATGATGCATTTCTTTATTCATCTGCTTCATAGCTGGAAAGTATGTTGCAAGCACACAAGCAATTCTTAGCTAGTACAAGCAATTCTTAGCTAGCGCATAGGCTTTTTGCACAGTCTTAATATCACAACAGCTTCTGCTGAATTTTAATACCCCATGTTCTTTATCCTGTGGGTCTGGTGTGAAACTCTGAGGAGTAGACTTTTGGGCAACTCTTCTAGACAAAACAATTGGCATTTAGGAGGAAATGTCATGTTACATTTGAGTCTGCGAGGCAAGGAAACCATTATTCAAAAAAGAGATATATCGATAATAAACATTAAACGGCTTGGGTTTTGGTCCTCTTTAACAACCTCAACCCTTCTTTGCGGAGTATGAGATATTTTATCCAGTGTTTTGGCTGTGTCAGAACCACACACAGCTAGAGACAGAAAGTTATGAGAAGTACAAAGAAGAACTACGTTTGATTTCTCCAGAGCAACACACACGCTTTAAAACCTACATAGGTAGAATGAACAGAAAATGCCAGAATCACCTCCTTATGGTGATTTTATAGATAATAAGCCATTTTAAGCTTCAGAACTCCACAGAAGACTTTCAGTGAAGCTTTCTGAAGAGTTGAAATCACTGCAAACCTTAGACCACTGCTCTTAGGGGTATTTTTGGTCTTTTTTCCCCCCTCAGTTCAACATACACCTTGACAACTGGTGTGACCAGGAGGTCTGGGCTCTGGGGAGGTCCTAAGATTGGTTGGGGGCAGGGGGAGTTCCTTTACTTTTAAAATACAAAATTATCAATTTTAGTCAACACAACATACTGCCCAAGGCATTTTGCTAATAACATTTTCTGAGTATGTGAACAGATTACTAATCATTTCACAATTGCTTTTGGAAATATCTGAAAGTGTATAACATGTAAATTAATAGTCCACTAAGGAATTCACTTTGCTGTGCTTTGTGGTATAAACACAGTAAAGTAAATGTTAATACAGAGCTTGCTTGCAGGTATTTTGTACAGCAGAACGTATCTCGGTGCTTTCATACAGCAAGTTACCTTGAATACCTGCTCCTACAAAGACTTGGTCAACTTTAGACACTTACGTCTTTGCTTTGATCCAGAAGTTCACTCAAGCCCATTAACTCAATTTGAAACCCTATTCACCCCTCAAAACTGTGTTATTTCATGTGGAAAACACAACAGATAATTCAGGAAATCAGAACTGAAGTGCAAAACCACAGATTATCTATAAATTCAAATAAAGATGGAGAGAAGGGTGTTGGCACAACAGTGACCAGGTGGGAATTTATACAGTTTAATTAAAGCAAGAGGAGTTGCTAATAAAATTAGTGTAATCCTTGGATGCAGCCCATGGGACTGCATACATATTACTAGGACTGGATGAAACTCTGAAATGCCTTTTAAGCTAAGATGTCTGTAGTCAATCACACAGTCTATGTCCTGAGAATACCACAGAAATGGCATGACTAGGCTGCATTTCTACAAGGTCTTCTACTCTACAAAGAGATCAGGTAGCCCATATCAATATCACATCAAGGGTACAGCACAGAATTTAGATGACAGAATTTAGAACAGTTATTCTGTTCATATCACACTATTGATCTAGGGTTTTAATTTAAAGAAAGAATAAACAAATCCAACAGAGTTTTGTCAAGTGACTCCTAAATAATGTAAAAATGAAAAAATTATTAATAACCAGGTGACTCATTACTAAATGCTTGAACAGGCATTTACTAGTTCTTGTATTCAGAGTGATGCTGGGTCTTAGGCATAAAAGCAAAAATTTCTGCGTGAGCCAGCTTTCATTAGAAGACAGAATGCAGTTTACGGTCTGAGCAAACCTGCCTTATGAAGTAACAGCTCCATCTTTTCAGAGAGCAGCGTGGTCAACACGTCTCTACCAAAGACTCAGTAGAACCTTACTGGGCATTACTAAGGCAACTCATAGAAGACTTCTGTGTAAGATAAAATAAGACAGAGGCATCTAGGAAAGATGAAATTCCAGTCTCAGCATTTTGATTCAAAGTGCTTTTGAAACATAGTGATACAGCCGGGAATGGAAAAGAGTAGTCCTCCTTTCCACACAGCTGTCTTAAAGCATTGATTTCAGCAGCAATTCCTGTTTGTAAACACCATGGTAAATCTTCACTGTCTCCATTCAACAGAATTGAACTTATTTCCCTAGGGATACTTTTCATTTTACTTTGCAGATACGGCCCTTTGGGCAGCCCAAATGTAAGATTCAGTGCTAGCAAATTTCTCATATTTTCTTTATGAGATCGCATGAGGCAAAGCAGCCTTCTGGGACCAGACTTGAATCCCGTCTAAGACAGGTGCCCACTTCAACTTGGTCAGCAAGAACTAAGACTTGGGATCAGGAGGAATAGGAGAGAAGGGTCCCACCTCCTGCATTTCCAAATGTTTCCCTTATTCACCTTTCCTCAAGACATGGTGGGTCTTGCGACTAGCACTCCTGCTCACCTGCTTCCATGATTCAGTACCTACATTGACAAAGCCTGGTATCTGCAGGTTGCTTCTTTGTAGATACAGGCCTTTACTTCTGATCTGCACTTTGAAAAAAAAAAAAATCTGTAACAAATTATAAAGAAATCCTTCAAAACAATTAAAGCATAAGACAAGAGAAAGAAGTTTACCCCCTTAAAACAAAAAAATCTTACGGAATGCAGAAGTGAAAAAAAATCATCAACAAAAAGTGCATAAACAGTGTTCCTGGACAGTGAAAAACTGACTGCATTTCCAGTGACTTTATAGGTTCTTGGCTGATTTAAACAACGATTTGAAACTGGAAAATAATTTAGGAAAGTTTGAAACTTTCACAAGAAAATATTTTGAGTTTTTATTCTAAAATCTCGTGTTGCTAGATTTACTCACATTCAAATCTTACGAAGATGTTAAAAACAAAACTTCAGTTCTGAAGAAGATAGTGAATTAATATGTAATCCACAAAAAGTGATCTCTAAGTTCTTATTTTGGAAAGAAAAAAAAAGTAGAGAATTACCATGAGTTAACCAGAAGTTATACTCTTAGTCTGGATTTTTAGTTGTCATTACTGAACCATGATATCTGTTACGTTTACCTCAGCTCATAGCCATTACAAATGCCTTCATTTAAATTTATATAGGCTGATCTAGATTACATATAGAGGCTGAATAATTTAGTAAGACATATTATTATTATTATTTTAGATTTACATCTAACATTACCCTCTATACTACAAGTAAAGACAAATATTATCTATATCATTTTAGATGTAGATCTAAGATAAGCTTCCTGGGAAGCACAAAGTTGTTCCAGATTATCACCAAATGCAGGGGGGTGGGGGGGTGGGGGGGGGTTGGTAGAGTGTTTTACTCATGAAGATTATGATGAAAAATTATGTGTTAATGGCATCCTCAACTGAAGAGCATTAAGCGAGTGAGCGGACAGTAGATTATATCTTGAAAACACAGCTTGTTAAATACTACCATCACTGGGTGACGTCTCAATTTTTAAAAAGCTCTAAAGATATCATATGTCATTTTCCTTATCCTCAGCAGAGATCGTAGGCAATGAGTAAAC